AATAGAGTAGGATAAGCTTGGTGCTTTGTCTTTGTTTGTAAGCTGCAGCAGTAGTTGCTGCAGCAGCTACTGCTGCTGCTGCTGCTGCTGCAGTTGCTGCAGCAGCAGCTGCTGCTGCTGCAGTAGTGCGTGCGCATGAACCGAAACTTTTTTAACATTTGTCGATCTACTTTTGTACGTGCTGCTGCTGCTGATGCTGCTGCTGTTGCTGCTGTTGCTGTTGCTGCTGTTGCTGTTGCTGCTGTTGCTGCTGCTGCCTCTCTTGCTGCTGTTGCTATTGCTGCTGCTGCTGCCGTTGCTGCTGCTGCTGCCGTTGCTGCTGCTGCTGCTGTTGACAGCATAGGAGTAGCAGCAGCAGCAGCAGGAATAGCAGCAGCAGCAGCAGGAACAGCAGCAGCAGAAAGAGAGACCGTAGAGGGAATATGTACGCAGGAGAGTCCGTCGCGCAACAGCAGCAACAGCAGCAGCAACAGCAACAGCAGCAGCAGCAGCAGCAGCAGCAGCAGCAACACATCCAGCAGCAATAGGATGCATCAGCATCATCATCAGCAGCAGCAGCAGCAACAGCAGCAGCAGCAGCAGCAGCAGCAGCAATACTAACAAAAAAAACAAAAACAACGAAAAGAATAATAATAATAGTGAAGACAACAAAAAACAAAAAAACAAAACAAACAAAAACAAAAATAAAAAAGCAAAAACAAAAACAATAAAAACAAAAGCAGCAACAACAAAAGCAACAAAAAAACAAAAACAAAAACAAAAAAACAATAAAAATAAAGACAAAGACAAAGACAACAAAAACAAAGACAGCGAAAAAAAACAAAATCAAAGGCAAGGAAACAAGAACAAAGACAAAGACAAAAAAATAAATAGAAAAATAAAAAATAAAAAAATAAAAATAAAAAACTAACATAAGGTGTAAATCCTGGTTTGCATGCAGCAGCTATAAACAAAACCAAAGAAAAACGAACAAAAACAAAAAAATAAAAAAAAAAATAAAAAAAAAAAAAAAAAAA